ATAACAGAGCTGGCCAGGTGGAGTTTCTACCTGCTGCAGTTTACAGCCTGACACATTAGTGTGAACTAAAACGACTGACTGTTTAGGTTAATACATTCATTATAAGCTGCAGCTCCCAGTCAGATCTACTTCTGCTTAGCTCTGCCTGCAGCAGTGATAAGGACCTCAGGGAAAAAAAATGCAGCAGGAGTTAGGGCGATAATTGTTTAATCCATCTCCCTGAATTCCACCTCCAAGTCAATCCAAAAGCAGTCTGTAGCACTACCTTGCTCTACCACGACCACACTCATCCTGAGCCAATATAACCTAACGCCAAGGTTAAGTGAAAAACTGGGACCGCACGCAACTCAGCCTCTCACAGAAACAAGGAAGAAGTCTAGAAAGACCCTGTGGGTGCGGGTCGGGGAGCACAGCCACAGGCAGAGCAGGGAGCTGCAGGTGCAGCAGTTGCAGCTGGGGCCTGGCTGACACCCACCTGAAGGTAAAGCACGGCTGCTAAAAGCAACTCGCCCAGCCTCACCTATGACCACACAAGAAAATGGCCTCACAGACAGGAAAGGACATTTTTCCATGTAAGACTACCTGAGCGATCCAACACAGTTGGCACTAGCTTCAGTTGCAAGCAGATTTTAGACTTCTTTGCCTCCAAGCGGTGAGCTCTGCAATCTGCCAAGTAATAACAGCATATGTCACCGCAGACAGGTCTTCATTAGAAAGGAATAGTCAGAAGACGTAGGCAGAAAAAACCATCCTAGTCACTGGTGCCATACGATTACCGATAATAACCTCAGCCTGTGAATGTGGGTACAGAATAACACCCACATACCTGCATCTGAAGTGACAGATACCATCCTCACCATACGTCCTACCAAGATCACTGATGGCTCTGGCTGACTCCAGTCACTTCTCATTTTCATTTTATAACAGGTTGTCTCTGGTTATATGTAGTTACTGTGTGCTGTTTAACCAGGGATCATCAGGGATACGCATGCACGGACAGGGCTTAGCACAAGGCATCCTCATTAGCTCAAGGGAGCTCACTGAGTGCTGAGCAGAGGAAGCAGTTGGCTTTCTTGTAGTGCACCACAGGCTCTGTATACTTGAGCTTGTTTGGCCTGGCACTCTTTTTATTTGGCCTCCGAGCATGGATATGACCTCTTCATCTACTATCTCTTTCAGAAGTAAAGCATCAAGAAAAAGTTTTTTTTTAAACCTACAATGGTAAAACTGAGGAGGGGTGATGGTGCACAGGGCAGGAACAGGAGCAAGAAGCTGGGGGCAGTGAGGAGCAGGGACATCATAAGCTGCACCCCTCAAAGCTGAGACGACCTGTGTTATCCACCTCCAGTTTCTAAATGTCAGCGCTAATGAGTGGGCTCTTTCTTCTCTCTCTGTGAGTTTTCCATTTCTTCCCAGGGCAGAACTGATGACTAAGTAGGTAGCAACAAGGGAATGAGTAGGCAAACTACGGGACATGTATTTGTCGAAAAGATTGGACAGAAAATTCCCACATCTTCTACAAGGATTGCAGTTGTTATAGAATCACAAAAGAGAACTGGGCTATAAAGGCACAGTAAACTTCCTCCTACTGTCCAAACTGGGGAGGGGCAGAAGGGTCGACAGGAGAAAAATACAAGATGAAGGCCAGAACCATAAGCTATCAGGAGCCTTTGGGACAGAAGAAAAATAGGTTTGAGCCGTCCTCTGTGAACTTTCTGGGAAATAAGAGAGTTAATGGAAAACTGCCATACGCAGACTCAATATAAAGACTTATAGATGACCTGTGCCCACATAGTATGATCCATCAAGTTGCTATCTTCCCTCAACAACAGAGACTTGGACTTTCCCTGTAAAGAAGAATGTTTTACCCATGTTCAAGCTGAAATACAGTATAGCATGACATGCCAGGACCTTAGTAGATGTATCATGGAAATACCAGGGATGAAATTGGGAACATCTTGCCTGAGTTTCCTCCTGCAGGAAATTTTAACTTGTCAGTACTAAAGCAAATTCAGGGAAGATGCATTGCCCAGTGTCTCTAAAGCACTTTGAGGAAAGAAAAAGCTGAAATAAAGCCTTAACAAAACTGCCTGGACTGACTTTCACCAGCCCAAGGAGAAGAGATCAGAGTGTCTCCAGGGCTGGATGTCTCCAGCCACAAGAAAGGGACAGGCCTGGGCTGGCACAAGTGCTGAAGAAGAGGTCTGGAGCGTCCTATGTGCAGTTTTCACCATTGTTGTAAAAGAAGGAAGGGTAAAGATGTCCCTTGCTCTGGGCAACTACAGAACAAAAGAAAGGGGGGGAGAAAGCCCTCGTTAGAAGCCATACAGTGCTGAAGGTACGGTGAAACACAGCTGAGACTCAAAATCCATGCTTGCTAGGATCATCTAGGTATCATCTCTGATCGCCTTCGCAACCACCAAGACCTTTCACTCACCACCTCAGGCTCAGGAGCATTCCAGCGTCCATTCGGCCTGCAAGAGCTCCACAGCGCAGACTCCCAAGGAACCTGGGGCTTCATGATGCTGCAGGACCCCCAGCAGCTGTCCCCATGCGTGAACATCCATTGGGGCTCTGATGGGGCACGGGGAGGAACCATGGAGCTGCTCAGCGCCATTCTCCAATTCTATAATTATTTTCTTTTCTGCATCACATCCAGGAAAAGGCTACCCTCTGGCCTAGCTGGGAGGAAAGTGCCACTGTACCAGCCTTTCTGTGTCTGAAGGCCAGCGTGAATGACATGCATGCTTTGCAAACAATAATACCTTTTACCATGAGAAACTGGTGTCCCAGCACGCAAGGCAAAAACCATTCCTCTTTCAAATTACTCGTTCCCTCTCAAAGAAAAGTTAATGAATCAGAATAAAATATTGGAAACCACTAGACCTGTCTGCTCAGGGTTTGCCTCAGCAGCACATGAGACCTTTGCCACTGCACTCAGTAGACACAGGGTCTAGCTTCACAGGAGCAACTTGCGCCTGGAGTAGGGCATACTTAGCAGCTCAGAAAAACAGGCTCGTCCAGGAGATGAGCTACCTACAGCATAAGACCAAGGTCCATCTACGAGACAAACAAGACTATGGTGGTCAGGCAGGGGCTGGGGGCCCCCAGGCAGGGTCAGGCGGTTAACCCAGGTGACCAGGGCCAGAGAGGCCTCCCAGTTCCCCACCAGCCTTGCCTCAAACACTGGACCACACTGGCCAGCAGTGCCCGCAGGCGTTTTTCTTCCTCTCCTCCTTCTTCTTCCTCTTCCTCTTCCTTTTCTTCCTTTTCCTCTTCTTATTCCTCTTCCTCTTCTTCTTCTTCTTCTCCTTCTTCTTCTTCTATTTTCCTCCCCCTGTGTGGAAATCAAAGCAGCTTCTCATTAAAAAGAGGAAACAAGGCTGAGAAACAGGCAGGGTTTTGGTTTTGTCTTTGGCTGTGGTGATGACACAGCAAGGGTATTGCAGCTTTTTGTTCTGCTCCAAAGCATTTCCCAAACAGTTAGACCTCTTGCCACTGTGAAGCTATTCAGTATGCACCTCCTCTGATGAGCAGTCCCAGTCTAACCATGGCAGTCAAGTAAAAAATAGCATTTTGATTGTCCATGCTTACATTTTCCCTCTTCAGCAGAGCAAATATTTTATTTCCACTGGATTTTCCAACCACTCTTCTCCCATCCATTACAGATGTAAAGAGGATAGTTAGTTCGTATCTTTCCTGAGGCCATCGAATTGAGAAACCCAGTGTCCAGATTCTGAAGAAATTTGCTTGGTTGCTCTGGAAAGCAGGGGGGGAAATATGCAATGATCAGTTCTATTTATTGTGACATTCATGAGTTTGTGAGACTAATAACATTATTCTGGCCCCAAATCCCCAGCTCTTTTTGAGATGTTTGACTTAAACCTGAGTACCTCTATATAATAGCTTCTTTTCAACCAAGCGAACTCATAGCTCTGGGGAAAGGGGAGGGGGGTTCAAAATACTCTACATCCTTAGGCAATAAACTAAAGACAAGAAGAAGGTTTTTGCTTTTCAGATAAGCCAGTCCTGTGAGAGTTCCCCTCTCTTCTACCTTAAGTGCATTAAGAAGAATGGGAGAAAAGCAGAAGTTCCCCAAAGCCATATGGATAATACAGTCCCAAAATAACAGGCTCCAGCCCTCATGCAGCCCCAGGGAATGAACAGGTCTATGTTTTCTTCCGCAGGGCTCTGAATTCAGATGCTGAGGAGCCCTCAAGTCACTCTCCCACTGAACCTCTGCCACAGCAGCCTTCCACCATCACTGTCCAGGACCAACAGAAATACTACAGATCTGTGAACAGATCAAAGTATTTTAACTTGACTTTGCACTTATTTGTGGGCTATGTGATGCCTACTTTAATCTGGATTTTAACTTCCAGAAAATATTTTTGACTCATGAAAATTACCCACACTGAAAAAATAATAGTCCAGGGAGGATAGGATGGAGTTCGTCGTCATTTATGTCATGGAAGTTTGCTAGATGTCGGGCCACTTCCTAGCTGACAGTTTTGCACTGTGCCTGTTTACAGAAGAAAGAGGAAACCAAGCAATAACAGTGAGGATTTTGTTAACACCTTTCCTTAGGACCTTTGCCAATTAGGTAGCCCAAGCAATGCCTGTATGAAGAAATCGTTAGCTCTCTGGTATTGTATTATCTGCATCTTAGTAGTTACATTTTCCTTGGGCATTTAGGAGCTGCAATATGTTTACTGTTTGGAAAAGATCAAATCCATGGTAATTATCCAAACCTATGCAAGCTAGAATTTTATTCTGAAGTGAATTAATAATTACCAGCTTGTTTTCCAGCAAGTTAGAAGCTGGAGAGCTACATGCCATATCCCAAGGGCACTAGAAACCATGAAGCACTGGAGGATCACAAAGTGAGAAAAATTATTTGACAGACTAATGTTTGAAGTTAATAGCAGATAACAAAGTAACATTATGGGGCTTATGACACTGCAGAAAATCAACAAAATACAAAAATCCTATGGCATTGTTTTTAATCCAACCTCCCCTTTCTTTTTATGTAATCAGGGAGTATTTGTCTCAGCTGGGTTAAGAGAAGTCCCAGATGAAGTCTGCTTCCTTTTCCTCTGAAATATATTGTTCCTTTTTCTTCACTTCATGTTGCCAAGCTCAGTTTTGTGCTAAGATGAAACACAAGTAGCTAAAGTGTTGTTTGAGGATCAGTAAGGGATGTGAAGACAGCCGCTTTTGCTGCAGAAATGCAGCATTCAAAAAGACTTCACTAGCTAAGAATTAGTGTCGATATTTTGTACTGCTTGTATTACCAGCTCACAGACTCAGTACTTTATAACCCGACCAGGTGTGTATAATGGGAAACTGGGACACTGCTGATTTCAGCTTAATTCACGTCCAGATGCAGCAAGTTATTATCACCTGTGCCCAAAGAGGGGCAGTTGAACCCAGTAGGCACTTCCCTAACAGTGAAAAAGCTTAGAATAAAAAGATAAGAATAGCTATACTAGGTCAGACTGAAGGTCTGTCCAGCTCAGTATCCTCTTTCAGACAGTAACCAGCAAGAGATGTCAGGCTGTACAAACAGGCCAAGCACACAGCAATGCTCTGCCAGAACACGCTCCCAGCACTCAGTGCCTTAGGGACTCCTTCAACCAAAGGAGTATGCCTCTGTTTGCTAGCAGCCACGGACATTTTCTTCTTCCTATTAACTTGTCTGGCTGCTTTTTGAACCTGGGTGAAATTTTCTCCCCCACAGCGCTCTGAGCACTCTGTGGCAAAGTCTGCCAGAGATTAACCATGGAAGAAAATTCCTCTGCCTATTTCTTTTGAACCTTTTATTTCACTTAGCATCATATTAGAAGAATTAGAGGAAATGGTGAATAACTGTTCCCTATCTATTATCTCTGCTACTCCTTATTTGATAGATGTCTGTCATATTCCTCCCTTCTAGTCATTTCTTTTCCATACTGAAGAGCTGTAATCTATCTAGTCATGCCTTGACAAGGAAACCATTTATATCGTTGATCATCTGTCCCCTTTGTGTGTTTTCTGCTTTAGTCATCCTTTTTGACAACAGTGGATTCATGAAGTGGGCAAACCACCAACTTACGTAGTGGCATAACAATGTTTCCTGTTTTTTATTTTCTATCCTTTTTCTAACAGTGCCTAAAACTCTGTTTGCCTCTTTGACCATCACTGAGCACTAAACTGACATTTTCACAGAACTGTCCAAAATGACTCCAAGATCTTTTGTAATTACTAATAACTAGCTCGGAGCCTACCACTGTATATGCAAAATTAAGGCTGTTTTCCAAAGTGTACTACTTTGCTTTTATCCACAGAAAGTGTCAGAAGGCATTTTATCACCTACTTAGTTATAAAATGAGATCTTTCACCACCATTTTTAAGCAAGCTGTTTTTCTGCTGAAACTTTCATTATTCTCTGCCCCCCTTTTCCAGATCACCCATGAACCATGTGGGCAGCACTCACACTACTATTGATCTCTAGGAGACTCCAGTGATCCCCTTCCCTATGAATACATTCCTACACTTCGAATGAGATTCAATGTACAATTAAAAGCATCTCAATGCATTTTGCACAGAGCCTACCTGGTGCTGACAAGCATATGTTTCTCTTAAATCCCAGGTTACAGTTGTCAGCTTCATACAGATGTCTTGGATATTGCAGAGCATCCCATACGGCACTATGTGCCTGTTTTCAGGCCATGGAAGCCAACCCTTTGTCTCCTGGTTTTTAACCAGTTACAGACTCATAAGGACCATCTTATCATTCAGTAGTTTTGCTTCTCTCCAAAGGCTTGTCAATAACTCTTTTAGAAATCCAGATAGGCTGCATCAACTTTTTTCATATGCTAGTGACTACTGTAAAAAAAAACTAATAAATTTGTGAGGATGAGATCCTCTGCAAAAGCAATGATGACTCTTT